AATTTCGCCGAAGCGGAACCTTTACAAATAGTTACGTGAGAGATTTGGTGTTTTTTTTTTCAGCGATTCGTCTTTCTCACTTACACAGGAATTTTGCATTGTTGCCAAAGTTTTTTGAGCTACTGAAAGTGAAATTAAGAACTATTTTGTATTTAGTTTCAGTAGCATATCTATATAGGTATTAGGGAGGAGCGAAAAATAAATATTTTTTTTTTGCTTAGTCTGAGGGTCATATCTGTAGATTATAAAAATAAGAAAATTTTTGGAAAAAATTTTTTAAAATCTCACTCACTTTTAAAGTATAGTTTCGAGTTAAAGTTTTTATTTCGTAAAAAATTTTTGATAAGTGTTCCAGAAGCTGTGGAGAGTCATCTTTCTGGCCAATTTAAGTTATCAACTTAAAAAATTGTTTTGTGGTCATTATTGGAGTTTTAAAAAAAGTCTTAAACGACAACATGCTTTCCTTAAGGGTTAAAATAAATCTTGAGTCAAAAACCGTCACATTCGGTAATTTTTATATAAATATAAAGAGTTCAAACCAAAAATTTTGTAAAAAAATAAAATTTAACTCGAAATTTACTTTAAAACTGAGTGCGCCTCTAGATGTTAAAAAAATTTTTTTTTGTACAAAAAATTTCTTTATTTATATTCTACAGATTTGACCTTCAGGCTAAGCAAAAAAAAATTTTAGTCGCTTCACCCTAATGAGTATACATATATTTGTTGAATAATTTTTGTTTTCACATTTTAACATAATTTTTGACAAAAAAAGTGGACTCAGTTATAGTTTTAAGCGAGAAGATGATTTATGCGCTCAAAAAAAAAAATAAACAGTTGCTCACATATTTTTTATTTAATTAATTTAATTTTTTGTCGCATGCCATTTTTCAGTGGTCGAAAATAATTTGCAATTACTGTCAGCTGCCAAGTGGGCGTGCGCAGCATGGAGAATGGCGAAAAGCGAATGGAATTGGTATGGGTGGGCAAGATATACTATACATATATGGTATAAGTATGTTTGTATGTATTTGGTATGGTTTGATGTATGAATAGGAATCGGTAAATTTAGATTCTGCCGATTTTTATTATTGCTTAAATTAGACTAAAAATAATGCAAAAGTGTCTTACGAGCGAGAAATCTGGAAATTAGGCGTAAATCGACAGTTTAGCCGAGCAAACGAAAATTATATATATATTAGCAGCTGCGGCGCAAAATGATTTATGAGGAAGGCTAGTATATATGATCTGAAAATTTTACTAATTTAATTTGACTCTTTTTTAGTTTCTTACAACTTTTTTTTTTTTGATCGTGTGAAGTTTGTACTCCTTGTGTGTGCTTGTCAGTTCTTTATTTTTGACGCGAAAAGTTTGGCGTTTTTTTCTGTGGAAAAAATCCGTTTTCAATGGAATCACGGTCACCGAATCATTGAAAATGTTGCAGAGATGTTTTATGGAGTCCACTTTATCAGGAACACAACGAACTTTCATCGAAAACTTAACTAATGCAAGCATCCTTTGTTAATGACGATAACAACGAAAAAGTTGAAAGAAAAGTGCTTGAAAATCGTCGTGGCATAAGAGGGAAAGCAGAGGATCTTCACATGTCTTATGGATTGGCGCAACACATTTTGGTTAAAGTTCTGGGTATGAAGCGTGTCAATGCTAGACTCGACCTTAAGCTTTTACAAAACGACATCGAGTTGACCTCGCAAAACAGTTACTTGTTAATATTACGTCGAAACTATTCAACAATCTAGCGAATGACGCATCAAAAATCAGCCGAAACCGAAAAAAGCAAAATTCGCTGAAAGCACTGAAGGATATATTAAAGAATTGTACTTGGTAATTTTTTTTTGTGTGTCAGTCCGCAACAGTTTTGAACCGTTGGTATACGTATGAGATTTCCGAAAGTACTGACAGAGGCATCAGGGCGAGAAGGAATGCTTTAAGTACATGTAGGATTGCCAAAGTCATGTGCAAAAGTCTTGAAGGAAAGCTCGCATGATGTATACTCACACAGTTTCAAAAGCACGGTAGTTGGCCTAATGACAGGTCACAACTTACTGGCATCGCATGCGAGCCGAATGGGCCTAAGTAACGACGTTACAAGCAGAAAGTGCAAAGAATTGGATATGAGAGAGACACTAGAAGACGTCCTAAGGCTTTGTACAATATTATCTAAAACCCATATATAGGAGCTTCGCAGTTAAAGGGGTTAGTGAAGTATAAAAAGTATCAAGTCGCTCTTAAAGTTCGCAGAAAACCTTCACGTGCTGTATGACGAATAACATACTTCAGCTCAAATTAAACTGAGCCTCCATCTGGTATTACTAAGGATCAGTAGTTTTAGGTATCTTGTGGCAGGCGGCGTATAGGTTAGGTTAGACCTATACGTATGTGGATATGTGTATAGGTATGTACATATATCTGACTTACAAAATGTTATATAAGAATATATTTTATAACAAAACTATATAGATATTTACTTACATAAGTACATACCTACAAACGCACGGCCTCAAGTGACTCAAATAAAATGAACGAAACACTTAAAATAAAATAAATATTTACAGTTGTAATTCCAAAAAACAACAACAAATCATTCAACTCATGCGCCACAATAAATACGAATAACTGCTGCACGCACGCATGCGCAGTTTGAAAATCTGCAATCGCAAAATCACCATAAATACACGCGATCAATATCCGTCGATGGTTGTTGGTCTGATGGACTGATGGTGGATCGTTGATGGCCAGCACCAACGCCATCACAATAACATGAACACACACACGTGCACAGCATACATTCTAAATATGCGCATAAATGCATGGCAACACACACACACAAGCGTCTGACCCAAAATGCACGAACGCCGTCGTCGTGTTCGTCGCGGCCGTCAAGGTGAGAGAAGTAAACAGAAAAACCGTAAACGAAAATATCACAAAAAATAACAACAACAATAACAAAAATTGTAATGAACGGCCGCTGATGAATATGATCGTCTCAATGATTTCATTGTAAATGCGCGCATGCGCAAGTGCCCAGCGACTACCTACGGTACCTTTGTGCAATGCAAACCCATTGCCACGAGTGTGTGTGTTTGTTGCGCGAAAACAATTACGCTTTGCCAGTTGGCGCTCTGCATATAGCCACGGCCGGCGAACGCCTTGAGAGCGCTTTTGCGCATGCGCAACACGTCTTTCGGTAGCCGCAGACACCAGCAGCAGCAGCAATAAAATCCAATCGAGTTGAGTTTCATCATCACTACGACAAACACCATAAGGAATGCAGAGTTGAAGGCAGATGCTTGATGTTAGGTGAATGCTTAAACTGTAGCAAACGCATATTTATAACTGTATGTGTGTGTGTGTGTGGATGCGTAGTGGGGCTTCTGCGCATGCGTAGATTTGCGCGGCTGCGATTTTGGGGTTTATAATTTTTTTGGAATATTAGTAGTTCTTCACTATTACGGAAGGTATACCAATCCGAGAGGGTGTAGCATGCGAAAACAGTAACAGTAACAGTAAGACCAGAGAATTTCTGAATCGTATTCCTAAATTTACTGCCAGGTCATCATTCTAAAAAAGGGACCGCGTTCGACGTATGGTTTTTAAGGTATCGGATCTTAAAGCAAGTGCCTATAGGCCATAGGCCTCGTTCAGTAGACATCTTGCCGAATAATAAAAGTATAATGCTTGGAATAGTCGGTAGCTCCGCCATATGTATACTTGGTAGCCTCCATATTAACCAGTAACTAACTCAGGTGATGAGTAAAATTCGAGGGTAACAAAAGTTTCAAAAGTCTAATTGACAATTTGAATCACCAGATGATTTGGCTCATTGGCATCTTTTGTAACAAATCTAAGTGTGTTGGTATTATGGATACCGTACTTCTATTAAAAATCTATTAATGTTAAAAAATTTATTAACAATGCTCCCATGAAGTACGTAGCTAAACTTGACGATTCTATAGATATGATAGCTTCACCCAAAAACAAATGTATTAACCCACCATAAATACCCATGCAAGGCAACTATCGGTTAAGTCACCGGTTAATTACCCAATAACGCAACCAGAGATTTTTTATAAAGCTCTGTGAGTTTCTTAAGGCACAATAATAAATTATATTATATTTATTAACATTCTCTGGTACAATTGACAATTCTAGCTGAAACCAGAGAATGTTAATGAATTTATTAACATTCTCTGCCCTCTCTATTTGTTAACATTCTCTGGTATTAACATTATCTGCTATTTATTTTGAATCATCTTTTTCACAAATAGATGTCGCTGTCAATATACAAGCATTAACTAGTGGCAGAGAATGTTGAAGAATATAATATAATTTTTAATTCAGAAGGCTTTTCATAATTATAAATTTTGTCATATCATAGAAATTGAAAACATAAATCTAAATAGGTATGCGCAACGATTTTCATATAGGAATATTCGTTGTGTCTATTTATAGCATTTCGCATATTGTGTGGTGTATTTTTCTTTTTCGAAGTTATATTTTTCGATGTTCCCTCATGTGGAATTACAAATTAGTACTCAAAAAGATTTCATTTAACATTTGCTCCTTCTCTATTCATTTACGTTCTCTGCTATAAGCTCTTCTGAAGAAATTGAAGAGATCATTCTTAAAATAATCGGTTACACTTAAGCGGAACGAACCAGTTTAAGGCTGTCCAGAACTATTTGTGAAATGTTTTACGCTACTACAACAACATCAACAGTGGAATTCTGAACAAGCTTTGTAGCTTAGCTTGAAATTATCCTAACTGCTTAGGCTAAGGAATAATAAATAATAGCTCAGCGCCGAAACAAACTCGTTAACTGTTTTCAACACGATTCTTAACGAAATCAGAAAACTCGAAAAATTTGTCTAGCAATTCTCTTTAATTATCGAGCCATTAAAAGACAAGAGTTTTTTGAGATTTTTATGAGAAATCAGGTATAAATCAAATCTGTGTAACACATAATTTTAAACAAATTTAATCTTCGTTTCCATTCAGTACTTTATATTTCAGAGTTTTTTTAAATAAAAAATATAGTTGTATTTTGGTTTCTGGTGTCACACAAAAGCGCTTAGCATACTAAAAATTATTGCTGTTAATTTCTTGAAATGATTTTATAAACTTAAACATAATTTTAAGGTTATTTAATAATGGAAAATATTAACTTTTTAAAACTACCGAGTGTTTAGGTTTATTTAATATCATATACAGCCGCATACATACATATATTCAACTGTATGTATGTATCTTATATATTTACATATATCTATATATACTATGTAAAAAGCATGCTTAAAAATATTATACAACTATATAACAGTAAAAAATGTTTTATAATTAAATAAAATCGCAAAAGTTTTTTCTTGTTTTATAATTAGTGTTAGACTATATATATATATATATATTTATGTACATATCTCTATAGATAGATAACTCTCCAATGGTAGTGCGTTGAAAAATCAGTACTTTCCGCCCACTCTTAACCTACTTTGTTGTTTCTGTTTCGCTTGGGGCCGAAGCTGGACGATATTTTTGAAAAAGCGCTTCCAACTTCTCCTTTCGCACGGATATGCCCACACCATAGGCCCAATTCTTCATCACCACATTCGAGTGACTATTGCCCATGTTGATGTCCATAATGAAACGTTCGGGGAATACTGGCTCATTCGCGTCGGCATTATCGCTAACCGATTGATTCAGTTCGGAAGGTGTTTTAATATTGAGCTTGCGCGTCGGCTTGATGATACGATAAATTTCCGCTAAATGTTTGTAATAGCGATGATTGAGGCGACAACGATTCGCTGGGTCACGTGCCGCGTACAGCCGATAGTTCTTCAAGGCGCATTGGAAGGCAAAACGGCATGCCGTCACTGAAATGAAGCATAGTGTATAGTTTATTAAGCCGGTAATTATAATTTTCAATGCCTGCTTACCAGTTGTGCGCATTTCGAGCGCGACTTTCTGCCATGCTTTGGTCTTCTCGTCCTCCGTTGCCTTTTGGTAAATCTGCGGATAGCGACGCACGGTCATTACGACTCGGTAGGCATCAATTTCGGGTTTTTTCTGCATCATTGGATGCGTCATATCTTTTTTCAGCACGAATCGCTGCGTCTTCGGATCGATAGTGTATTTTTTCTCTTCCTTGATGCAGCGTTCGCATTCGTCGATCATTTTATTGCGCACTATATAGTAGAACGGTTCCATATTATGATATTGTTCTTCGATTAGAAAATCCAATTTGGCCAATACGCGCCACCATTCTAGCGACCATTTGTTGTCGATGCCAATCTCCAAGTCATGCATGTATTTCAAAAAGGCGCCTTTAAATAGGGTCCATGTGCCGAACCAGATTTCTGCAAAATAAATAATAATTAAAAATGTGTTATTATTTGTTTAACATAATTCTGATTTTAATATGATAGTAATATAAAACGACTGAAACGAAATTATGTAGCGCAACAAAATATCGTCACGACGGAATAGCTCAAACATTGTAGAGGAGTTAACGGATTTGACAAATTTTAAATTGTTTAGTGTAATGCAAGAGTGGCTTAAACCGAAAAATGTAGTTACAAGGTTGCCACCTATTCGAAAAATTTTAGTAAAGAAATTATAAGAAAAACCAAATTACTGTGAAAGTGCAGATAGTAAAAAAAAATCTAAAAATCTAACCTATTTAGAAAGAGTTGCCAATTGTTTGAAATATTTAATTTAACAACTTTCATAGCTAAACAAACTATTGAGATATGGGTATTATACTAATACGATTTAAGAACGGTTACAGTGGAAAACTTGTATTTTTTTCAAATGACAAATTTTTTATTTTTGTTTTTAAATTAAAAAAAACATACCGCCTAGTTTTTTACTAGCATGGTTGCCACATTTTTAAAAATATTTTTAAAATAAGAATTTTGAAGTGCAGAAAACGACGATATTGGTTTCAAACTAAAGTCCTTAAAAAACTTTCAGTTGAATATACATATTTACCAAGTAGCGCTGCCACATGTTTAAAAAATTAATTTTCTTAAATTCGAAAATTTACAAATTGTTGCAAAATTGGTATTCAAGTTAAGACGTTTGAAAAAGATCTCAGCTCAACATATTTCTAAGAAGTGTTGCCACCTTTTTTTTAAACTAGAAATTTATAATTTTTTTGATGTAGTGAAATTATTATCATAGATTAAATATTATAAGGGTAACAAACTAAAGCGGTTTATAAAACATTTCTGACTGATAGATTTTTTAGAAGGCTTGCCACATATTTTTTAATTTTAAATGGTACTAAATGATTTATGATAATAATTTTAGCTTAAAATATTTTGTTTGCAATTTGTATTAAAGTTAAGAGGTTTATAAGACATTCAGTTAATCATATTTTTAAGAAGTGTGGCCAGCTTTTCTGTTTATTTATTTTTTTCTTAAGTAAAATGTTTGTAATAAATTAAATTAATTGCTGGCTGATAAAGTTTTGCGTTGCCATTTGTTAAAATTTTTGATTCAATTATTTTTTTAGTTTTATTAAATATTTTATTACTTACTGTTTGGTACATATGGACTGCTATTTATAGCAGCTTGCCAATCCGCGACGAAAGTCAATTTCTTTCCACCTATACGTGGTATGTGCTTTGTTTGATCTCTAATATTATCGAAGAACTTCTCCACAGCATCCTTTGCGAACGGCAAACGCAGTTGGGCTTGGGTAAAAAAAAACCAAAAATTATTTTTTAAGGTTAGAAATTTATTTTTTGAGGTTAGGAAATTACTTTTTGAGGTTAGAAAATTATTTTTTTGAGGTAAGAAATTTTTTTTTTGAGGTTAGAAACTTTTTTTTTTTGAGGTTAGAAACTTATTTTTTGAGGTTAAAAATTATTTTTTTGAGGTTAGAAACTTATTTTTTTGATGTTAGGAAACTATTTTTAGAGGTTAGAAAATTATTTTTTTGAGGTTAGAAACTTATTTTTTTGAGGTTAGGAAATTATTTTTTGAGGTTAGAAA